GGACCAGAAACTTCCATCACCTCCAGCCTCTCCCAGGCGCTTCCTCTGCTCGGGGACCCCCGAGTCCTACCCACCCTCCCCTCACAGCACCCTCTGCCACCTCCCGGCCCCTCCCGCAGGCCCAGCCATTCGAGCTCATTTGTCCCATTTGCCACGCGGCTGAGCATGGAGTCAGTCAATCAACCAATTATCGACCGCCTGCCTGCAGGCCCCGGACGCTTCCTGTGCGGTCCGCTCAGCTTTCGCCCCCAGAGGCATTTTGGAACCTTCCCAAGACAAAAGGCGGAAGGAAGGAAGGAAGTGCCACCCTGTGGACACAGAAAAGATAACAGTCCCTGTGGCTCCTGGCGCTTCTCTCCACCACCACGCCGGCCACCCGTGGAGCCCGGGAGGTAGGGATCAGCATCGCCCTGTTTTCGGTTGGGGAAACTGAGACTTTGATGGGTCCAAGGTCACCCAGCTCAACCCAGGCTGCCTGGCCCAGTCTGCGCTCTTTCCCACCTGCTGCCCTGACACTCTGGGTCCCCTGCCCCTGGGCCCATTCCTGCAGGGAACCCTGTTTCCCAGGTCCTGCTGGGTTCAGCCCATGGGGGTGCTGGCGGGAGGGGGCCCAGAGGAGGGGAGAGGACAGAGTCTCTCTCCTCTCTCTCTGCCATGGAGGGGTCTCCTCCCAGGCTCCCACAGATCCTGGGCTCTAGTAATGCCACCCCTTCTTCTGTTATTTCTAGATGCCTCATTGTCCCCATTTGTGGTTTTTTTGGCTGCGCCTTGCGGCATTTGGGATCTTAGTTCCCCGGCCAGGAATCAAACCTGTGCCCCGTGCAGTGGAAGCGTGGAGCCCTAACCACTGGACCACGAGGGAATTCCCTGGGTTTTTGGTTTTGTTTTAATAAATTCATTTTTGGCCGCATTGGGTCTTGGTTGCTGCCCCTGGGCTTTCTCTAGTTGCGGAGAGCGGGGGCTACTCTTTGTTACGTTGCGTGGTCTCCTTATTGCGGTGGCTTCTGTTGTTGCGGTGCACGGGCTTTAGGTGCACGGGCTTCAGTAGTTGTGGCTTGTGAGCTCAGTAGTTGTGGCTTGCAGGCTCTAGAGTGCAGGCTCAGTAGTTGTGGCACACGGGCTTAGTTGCTCCGCGGCATGTGGGATCTTCCCAGACCAGGGCTCGAACCCGTGTCCCCTGCATTGGAAGGCGGATTCTTAGCCACTGTGCCACCAGGGAGGGAAGCCCCCTGGTCTTTTAAAAAAAGTATTATTTAGCATTATTTTCAGTTGTGCTCCAATACACATAACGTAAACTTTACCATCTTATCCAAGTTTAAGTGTGTAGTTCATCGGCCTTAAGCACATTCACATTGTTGTGCAACCAGCACCACCAGCCATCCAGCTCTTTGGTCTTGCAAAACTGAAAGCCTATAGCGATTAAACACCAACTCCCCAGACTCTTCGTCCAGCCCCAGGCACCCACCGTCCTACTTTCTGTCTCTAGGGATTTGACTACGCTAGGGACTTCATATAAGTGGAGCCATACAGTAGTTACCTTTTTACAACTGGCTGATTTCCCTTTAGCACAGTGTCCTCGAGAGTCATCCATGTTGGAGCATGTGTCAGAATATTCTTCCTTTTTCAGGCTGAATAATATTCCATTGTATATATACACATTTTATTTATCTGTTCACCTGCAGATGGACACTTGGGTTGTTTCCATCTTTTGGATTTTGTGAATAATGCTAAGAACATGGGTGTGCAAATATCTGTTTAAGTCCCTGATTTCAATTCTTCTGTGTATATATACCCAGAAGTAGACTTGCTGGATCACATCATAGTTGTATTTTTATTTTTATTGTTAACTTTTTTGGCCATGCCTCGCGGCTTGTGGGATCTTAGTTCCCCGACCAGAGATCGAACCCATGCCCCCTACGGTGGAAGCGTGGAGTCTTAACCACTGGACTGCCAGAGCAGCCCCAATAGTTCTATTTTTAATTTAAAAAATTTGAGGTCCTATTTTTAATTTTTTGAGGAGCCGCCATACTGTTTTTCCACGGTGCCGTCACCATTTTACATTCCCACCAACAATGTACGAAGGTTCCAGTTTCTCTACACCCTCGCCAACACTGTTGTCTTCTGTTTTTTGTTTGTTATTACAGCCATCCTAATGGGTGTGAGGTGGCATCTCATTATGATTTGCCCATTTGGTGTGTTATGCTTAGATCTCTGTATTGTTTTTTTCTATCCAGTGACCTGCTGTGTTCCTGACTGTTCCCCAGTTGATGTGCCAGGACTATTTGTGGCTTGACCGCCATGCCCTAAGACAGGGGTCTGAAATGCCCTCAAGGCCCAGACTCAGGTAAAGCTGGGGTGCACAAGAGAATGAGGGTGTAGGGGACTGAGGTGGACTGCAGCCCACGTACCCTGACACCCATGGCTCTGGCCAAATGTTTCCATGATGTAGCCAGATTCACCTGAATTTATGATTATTTGGATTTGTGTTGTGAAATCTCTCGAATTTTTTCCATCTTAGCAACGAATTTAATAGGACTAAATTCAGGAGAATCCTTCCCCGACACCCCCCAAAATAAAAAAAGCCTCCTGCCACTCAGTTCTCTGTCTCATTATCCTTTTTAATATTCTTCCAAAATAATCTTGTAAAATATCATTTTTTCTACCTGTTTCCTCTTCTAAAATGTCATCTCCTTGAGGGCACAGACTCTTTTTATATATATATATATATATATATATATATATATATATATATATATATATATATATATATATATATATATATATATATATATATATATATATATATATATATATATATATATATATATATATATATATATATATATATATATATATATGTAACTTTTTTTTTCTTGGCCATGCCACACGGCATATGGGATCTTAGCTCTCCCTGACCAGTGATCGAACCCCCGCCCCTTGCATTGGAAGCGTGGAGTCTCAACCAGTGGACCCTCCAGGGAAGTCCCAAGGGCACGGACTCTTATTCACTGCAGTGTCCCACACGCCTAGAACAGGACCTGGCACGCAACAGGTGCCCATTGTTCATTGAATGAACAAGCAGGAAATTTAGCAAAACCCCAACTCAGGGAAGCACCCAGCAGAGCTGCTCCCCCGCTGAGCACAATATCCCCGAGAGCCTGCAGCCTGCTGGAGCTCTGAGGAGACGTTCCCTTTCCAGATCCTTCTCCCGGGGAGTCTAGTCCCTCAACAGATGGAGGGAGCCAGAGAACCGAGGAAGAAAGCACTTCTGGTTTAGCCAAATACTTTACGAAATTTAATCGATCACAGTAAGACATTCAGGCTATAAAAACATTCTATACAGTGGTTTAAAAAGCGATACCCATCCCGGAAAAGCAACCCATATATACAACACAGACCTGATTCTCCTCAAGAGCGTTGTGCACAGCACGTGTGAATAATCTTTTTGTACAGAAAGACGAGGCGTCTCAGAGACAGCTTCCCCCAATGCAGCAACCAGGGTTTGCAAAAATAAATAGATCTTTTTTTATATACATATAAGTGATAAATGTTTCAACAAATATACAAAGTGCAAACATAACAAAAAGCTCCCATTGTCTGCCCGGGGATCTATTTACATGCTTCAGAAAGAGAAAAGGCATTCACAGCCTCCTGCAGGGCTGCCGTGTTCTGTGGTTGTACAGCAGACAGTCCCCTCAGGGAGTCTCCGTGGGAGGCGCCCCACCCCCACCCCCGGGCTCTGTGGTCACAAATGCGATACGTGTGTCAATTTCAGAAAGCATTCTTGTTTAATAAGTCCCTCAAAATGCCCAAGCCAGGAGCATATCCTACAGGGTGGACCTGCCATGCACGTTTCAGATGGACCACCCCCCCCCCCCGCCAACCATGACCAGCTTATTGGGGAAATGAACGGCTCAGGGGCATCTGCACAGAAGTGGAAACACTAGCCAGATAGTCTCGATCTTGATCTTGGCTTTGAAGTTGTGATCAGGCCGACCCTTTCCTCCTCACGCACGTCTCCCTACGTGCTGGGAGAGGGGCCAGGTCCGCAGCATCACCGACCTGGACTCTCTCCAGCCAGAACAGAACCAGAACGGAAAGCAGTGCAAAATAATAATAGACTGTTGACTTTACACAGTGTACAACTAAACTGAAAAAGTGCAAGGGGCAGGGCTGGGGTCCAGACACCCACACCCAGACAGAGGGACACAGCTGAGGTCGGAGCCACCTATCTTCACGCACAAGGCAATGGGGGTCTCAGGCACTTAATACATATTAAGGGTGACGGGTGGCTCAGGTTTTCCCTGGGGATGGCCGGGATTTTTGGTGAATGAATAGGGCTCAGCGGGTGCCACCCCCAGAAGGCTGGATCCAGCCATCACCAGGGGCCCTTCCCCAGCATAAGGGGAGGGCAAACCCAGCTTGGAAAACCCTAGTTTGATCCTAACCTGTGGGTGGCAGAGCAAAGGCCAACACTGGCCATCCCATCAGGCTCGGCAGGCAGAGGTAAACACGTTCAGTCCTGAGTGTGAGGCTCGAGCTAGAGGGCAGGTGAAGCAGCAGCTACCCAGGACCCTGTTGGTAGCAACTGCTGGTGCGTTCAAAGCCACTAGCTTTCCCGCTCCGTGTCCCTCCGTCCATCATTCATTCCCTCGGGGGAAGAGCACGTCAAGGAGGAGAGAAGCTCAGAAACATCCCCCAGCTCGTCCGCCTTCCTCCTCTTTTCCTTTAAGCATAAAGAAAGAGAAAAAAGGCAACCCAAACCTGATCCGTGGGCACTGTCGGAAGCCTGTTCTGCCTCCCAAACAAATAAATATATAAAACAAAGCTTTGGCAGACAAGGCAGACGGGCGCTGGGGCTGCAGCCACCAGCACTGCTTTTGGCGCCGAGGTCTCAGGAAGGGTTTGGGGCAGGTCAAGGGTCCGGGGAGAAAGTGTTCTTCCTGCCAGCGAGTGACCAGCGGCAGGTTCCGGGAAGAGACGGGACTCGAGGCAGCAGCTCACGCCACGTCATCCTCTAGACTGACCATCTGTCTCTGTCAACAAAACGGTAAACGCCGGAAACCATCAGTCCAACATCCAGTAAACGTGGCCGGAGGCCACCTACGCCTCACTCCCTCCTGGCCCCTCCGGCCAACCAGCCCCCCCGCATCGCCCGCTGGACCCACACAGTGGCCTCCCCACGGGTCTTGGAGCTCCGCAACTTGGCCCCAGCCTGCTCCCTCACAGCCACCAGGGAGCACCGTGACCACCCGAGTCTGACGGTGTGGCTCCGTGGCTCCCACCTCATTCCGAGGGTGCTGCTCCGTCTGCCCTGTCCCCTCCCACCCTCCCCCACTCTCTCCATTCCGGTCACACTGGTGGCCTCCTTGCTCCTCAAACACACCAGGCAGGGTTACACCACAGGGCCTTTGCACAGGCGGTGCCTTCTGCACACCGTACACTCCCTGCTCAGGGAAGCCTTCCTGGCCACCTAAAGTTGCATCCCCTCCCTCCCAGACCCACAAACCACTCTCCATCCCCCTCTGGCTTTCACCCTCGGACCTACGATCCTTTTGCTTATCCCCTGGCCCCATCCCCACACTGTGAGAATGTCTGCTCTCCAGGGAGGACCTGGCCCTGAGGAGGCATGACAGACACACAGACGGACACACGGGCACCAGCGAGGTCCCAAGTGGCACGGCTCACCGAGGGGTAGGTGTAGCCATCCTGGCTGCGGCAGATGTGGACCTCGTCTTCCGTGGTCTTCTGATACACAGGGTTGTCAAAGTTGATGCTGTTGATGCTCTTAAGCCGCCAGTTCTTCCAGAGGAGGAAGGTCCCGAAGCACAGGAGCATGAGCAGCGCTGCAGGGAGAGGGGAGAGATGCTGCTTTCAGCCGTCAGGCCCTTTCAACTTGTAAAGGTTTTTATTCTGCATTTAAAGCAGTACTTGCCCATTGTAAAAAAAAAAAAAAATCTATCTATGAGCATAACAAATCTCTAGCTTGAAGACCACTGTGACTGCCTCACCCTCTTTCTTTTTTTTTTTTTTTTTTGCGGTACACGGGCCTCTCACTGTGTGGCCTCTCCCGTTGCGGAGCACAGACTCCGGACGCGCAGGCTCAGCGGCCATGGCTCACGGGCCCAGCCGCTCCGCGGCATGTGGGATCCTCCCGGACCAGGGCACAAACCCGTGTCCCCTGCATCGGCAGGTGGACTCTCAACCACTGCGCCACCAGGGAAGCCCTGCCTCACCCTCTGAATACCCAACTATTGTCAATTCTTCCAGTTTGTTTCCGTGATTAGTCACATGGGAGCCGCCGCTTTTTCAGAAATAGGACTGTTCTCTACATACAGGGCCACAGTGTACTCTGGTTCTGTTTGAACTTGGGTGGGGCTGGATCCCTCTTTGCATCCTTTATGGTGGGCCTTGGGGTGGCACTTCCTGTCCCCTCCCTACCCCCTCCCCCAGATCCAGGGAACAGCCAAGGGCTCACCCGGCCCAGGTCTGAAAAATATTCTGGTCCAGAGGGTGGGAGAGGCTCAGGCTCTGCTGGGCCCCCGGCAGCCCCAAGGAAGGTAAGGGGCCCGGCCGCCAACCCACAGCGCACAGCTGTTGGGCACTTAGATCTCTCATCTCTGTGAAGGGACACCTTGAAAGGACTTTTTTCAAAAAGGAAAAATGGGTGTGATGCTGACCAAGCCATGATTGATGGGTGAGGGGGGGAAAGCAGAAATCTCCAAACTGCCCCCTGCAAGAGAACCGCTCACCAGGAGGCACCCCTGCTGGTTGCCCTCCCATCCCTTGGGTGTTGGTGAGGCCACCCATACTCACACCAGGGATCCTGGCCCAGCCCCACTTCCCCCACGTGACACATCGACTGCCCCACTCTGCTCACTGTCAGCTCCGGGGGTGGGGGGAATGTTTGTTTCTTTCAGGGCTGGGTCCCCAGTGCCCAGAAGCAATCTTGGTATACAGTAGGCGCTCAACTATATTTGTTAAGTAAATGAAGCTAGGAAGGGGGGCCCAGTGATGTACAGGACGCGCAGCAGGGCCACCCCGTTCCTGGAGGAAAGGTGGACCAGACTGGCTTACTGGGCATGGAGATCATTTTGCAGGAAACTGGGAACCAGGGGAGGACCAGCCACAGGCTTACCGATTGGGAGGACGATGTACAGAGCACCCACGCCCTGGGGCCTCTCCGCATCCGCTCGTCCGGCAACATCACCCAGGACTGCGAGGGAGAAGGGAGAAAGTGAGGCCCAGTTCCCCAGTGAGGGGTGGGAAAACACAGCAGGTGTATGATGACAACCCGCAAAGGAAAATGCCTGACATTTCTCAGTGTCCTCAAACATTCAAAGGAACTTGGAGCATCTCCCAGGTGTGAGGAGCCGGGCTGGCTTCCTCCAGGGCCTCGCTTGTTAGCAATCGGGGTTATGGGATTTGGGGCAAATTTAAGACGGTCCTTTAGCCTCACATTACAAGGCACTGGGGAAGGGGCTGCTGGTCCCTGAGACCAATGCCTACAGATACATTCCCAGTGGCTGGCGAGGTCACTGGTGAAATTTTTCAACCTGCTTCTGCATTTGATGACAAGGAGCTTTTTCTAGATGGGGCAAGGGCCAACTTCTGTCCCCGTAATGCTCAGCAATCCCAGTGCCTGGGTTGCATCGCACCAAAGCTCCATAGTCCTGTGCCAGCTGTCCCCGCCTAATAAGAAATATTGGAGGGGGTGGAACCTCATTATATAACCACGCCCGTGCACCTGGGCCGGACAACGTGAGGGGCCATGCAAGTGAAAGTTTAAAGGCCTACAAATAGGACAGTGAGCTGGGAAGACTGCACAAGCCACATCCAAGCCACACATAGGCCGGTGAACAGTGATGACCGTCTCCGGTTGTGTTCAAATCCCTCTGGGTTTTAATTCAGTCTGCTGTCGCACGTGTTGTGGACAGAGTTTACATGCAGTTTTACACTTACGCATATTTAAGAAACCTTGTCACAAAAATAATTTAGGGAAGCAGCATTGGTGTCCTTGAAAAAATTTTCCCTTAAAAGGGCTCCTTTGCCAAATTCGAGAAGCCCTGGATGGGCCCATCTGTGAAATGGTTTTTTAAGCAGTGGTCCTTCAAGTGAGAAGGGTTCTGGGCCTCCCTCAACCATATAGTTCCTGTTTTATCTCCTTTATGGTTGAACAAAGGATTCAGCTACTCTGAGGGGGGAAAAAAAAAAAGAAAGTCTGAAACTTGCTGATGTGCCTTTTTTTTTTTCTCCTGGCCAGAAAAGCCTGAGCTCTGTTTCCGGGCTGCTCAAAAACAGGGTCAGGCGCCCTCTGCTGGACAAAGCAGCAAATGGTGGGCTCCAATTCACCGAGAGCCCAGCTCTCTCACCTCCTCCAGCCCGGGAGGTAGATCAAGACCTTGAGGGCGGGCTAAGATGAGGAGAGAGAGGGACTCATCCCAGGCACTAAATTTAAAGGGGTCCCCCCCAAAACTCAGTAAACCAGTAATATTATAATGCATTATTTTTTTGTTTTTCTCCTGTTTTGGCCACACCGTGCAGCATGCGGGATCTTAGACCTCCGACCGCCAGGGAAGTCCCTGCATTGTTTTTAAAAATCAAAATTAATGCCAACGGGAATTCCCTGGCGGCCCAATGGTCAGGATTCCGCGCTCTCACTGCTGAGGGCCCAGGTTCAATCCCTGGTCGAGGAACTAAGATTCCACAAGTCACGCAGCGCGGCCAAGAAAAAAGAAAAGAAAAGAAAAATTAATGCTAATACCTCATGGTGACCAAAATAGCAAAACCTTTAGGAAAACAGGATCTGACTATACACTTTGCAAGATCCTGCCTCACTGAGACCCTGGCTCCGAGCAAACTTTATTTACTAGAACAGGTGGCTGACCCCACACACCATAGTTTTGAGGATTCGATTTTTTAAAAAAATACTGCATTAAAATATTATTTGAATCTTGGGTATTTTGGTGCCCCCTTTATTTATTTATTTTTTAAAAATATTTATTTATTTGGCTGTTCTGGGTCTTAGTTGCGGCACACGGGATCTTCGTTGCCACATGCAGGATCTTTTAGTTGCAGCATGCGAAATCTTTAGTTGTGGCATGCAGGGGTGGGTCTTTCTTTAGTTGTGGCCTGCGGGGGTCTTTAGTTGCAGCATGCGAATTCTTAGTTGTGGGATGGAGGATCTAGTTCCCTGACCAGGGATCAAACCCAGGCCCCCTGCATTGGGAGCTCGGAGTCTTACGCACTGGACCACCAGGGAAGTCCTTGGTGCCCCCTTTAGATGCTGCCCCAGGGAGTGCCTAACCTGCCTCATGCTAGTCCTGGCCCTGTTGGGCAGACACCTGAAAAAGTCCACGTGATCCCCACTATTCCAGGAAGGTGGGTGGGCACTGTTATTAGCTCCATTTTATAGGTAGGGAAACTGAGGCTTCCACCATGCCAGAGAAAGTGAGAAAAGGAGCCAAGACTAAATCCACTCTGTCTCTTCACCAACATGCTCATATCAATGAACCAGGGCCAGGGTGACCCCAGCCTTTACCTTGCTGGGACATCATCACTGACTCTGCCGTGGTGAGCTCAGGACTGGCTGTGCGCTTCGGACCCACGGTTGTCGAGTTGACCGTGGAGGGCCTCCAGGTGGTAACTTCAGGTTCCGTCTCTGAAAGAATAAACAGTTCCTGAGTGCCCTGCAGGCTGAGCCCCACTGATAGCTATGCTGCTGCTGACAACGGATAGGAAGCAAGTGCCATGGGCCACAAAGAAATAACTGAAGATAAACGCAGTGAAAATACAAACCCACCGATATCTATGTTATTATATTACACGTTGTTTTTCAAAAGGAAGATTCGTAAGTGTTACAGACACACTGGCCCCAAATAGAGACTTTCTCTGAGGATGAGGAGAATCAAAAGGGGGCCACCTTCTCCCTCAGTGTCTGCACCAGGCTTCCCTGGTGGCGCAGGCAGTCATTAAGAGTCCACCTGCCAATACAGGGGACAGGGGTTAGAGCCCTGGTCCGGGAAGATCCCACATGCCGCAGAGCAACTAAGCCCATGCGCCACAACTGCTGAGCCTGTGCCCTAGAGCCCGTGAGCCACAACTGCTGAAGCCCGTACACCTGGAGCCCGTGCTCCACAACAAGAGAAGCCACTGCAATGAGAAACCCGTGCACCACAATAAAGAGTAGCCCCTGCTCGCCGCAACTAGAGAAAGCCTGCGTGCAACAACGGAGACCCAACGCAACCAAAAATAAACAAAATAAATAAATTTATAATAAATAAATAAATACATAAAATAAAATCAGTCCCTCCCCCACCCAAGAGGTCTGGGAAAGAGAGAACTAGACCTTACAGGTGAACTGAGTCCATCTCCCTGCCAGGCACAGTGCTGATGCACCCAGCATTTGAGAAAGGCCTTACAAGGGCCTCCTGGGGCCTCGCTCTCCCATTTGATGGATGAGTAAAGTGAGGGTCGGGAAGGTCCGGCTGCTGGGCCGACCCGCAAGGGTGGCAGAAGGCAGACCGGTGCCCCCACCTGCAAGGCAGCTTCTCATGTCCTCAGCCAGCAGCATGCCGTTGGGGCAGGCACAGGTGAACCTAGGCGAGCGGGGGTTGATCTGCGGGGCTGGCAGACACAGGTACTGGCAGCCACCGTTGCGGAGGGCAGTCCTCTCACACCAGTTCACCCCTGCGGCGGAAAAGGCAGGAAGGCAGGGTGAGAACGAGGTCAGAAAATTTCTAGAAAATTCCAGAGTGCCGGCAGGGACATGGAGGTGGGGGTGGCCGTCCCATCTTTACCTCTCGGCTGCGTGAGGTTGTGGAAAAGGACGATGTCCTCTGGAGACAGCAGGTTTTCTGCCATCAAATTAATGTCTGAGCCCGTGAGGCGGTTGGCACTGAAAATGGCTTCGTTGACAATATCCGTCCAAAATACTTTATCCTACATGGGAGTTAAGGAAGATGACAGATCCCATCAACCATGGGGCTGGGACACAGACCACTGTCTCCACACCCCTTGAAGTTATTGGAGTTCTCTGGAGAATAAGCAGTGCTGGGTGGTAGCATCATTTATTTTTTCTTTTTCTTTACAAAATTTTTAATTGTGGGGACTTCCCTGGCAGTCCAGTGGTTAAGACTGCACGCTTCCAGTGCAGGGGACGTGGGTTTGATCCCTGATCAGGGAACTAAGATCTCACATGCCGAGCAGCGTGGCAAAAAATAAATAAATAAATAATAATAATAATTGTGTAAAATATACATTATGTAAAATTTACCATTTTAACCATTTTTAAGTGTCCAGTTCTTTGGCATTAAGTATATTCACATTGTCGTGTCACCACCATCCATCTCTAAAACTTTTTCATCTTCCCAAATTAAAACTCTGTCCCCATGAAACACTCACTCTCCATACCCCTCCCTCAGCCCCTGGCGCCCACCATTCTACTTTCTGTCTCTATGAATCTGACTCCTCTAGGGACTCAAATGAGTGGAATCATACAGTATTTGTCTTCTTGTGCCTGGCTTATTTCACTGAGCATAATGTCCCCAAGGTTCATCCATGTTATAGCAGGTGTCAAAATCTCGTTCCTTTTTAAGGCTGAATAATATGTCATTGGATGGATGGACCACATTGTGTTTATCCAGTCATCCACTGATGGACACTTGGGTTGCTTCCAACTCTTGGCTTTTGTGGATCGTGCTGCTTAAACATGGGTTTACGAATACAGCTGAACCTTGAACAACATGCATTTGAACTGCGTGGATTTTTTTCAATAGTAAATACATGATTCCCAGCTGGTTGAATCCACGGATGTGGAACTACAGATACCAACAAACCCTGGATACGGAGGACCAACTCTAAATTATACTCAGATTTTCAACTGTGTGAAGGGTCAGTGCCCCAAACCCCATGTTGTTCAAGGGTCAACTGTACAGCAACATTCTCTAGAGCAGAGTTTCCCCACTGGGATGCTATTTAGAGCCACATAAGCCTTCCTGGTGGGCCCCCCCTTCTCCTGTAGGGTGTTGAGCAGCATCCTTTTGTTTTGGCCTTGACTCACAGCTTGCAGGGATCTTAGTTCCCCGTCAAGGGATAGAAGCTGGGTCCCCTGCAGTGGAAGCGCTAAGTCCTAACCGCTGGACTGCCAGGGAAATCCCTAATTCCTGGTCTAAGACCTCTTCATGGTCACCAGCAGTTTTCTGATCTAGTCTGGGCTTGAATGACTACACGATGTGTGTGGACCTGTTAGCAGGAGCGCTCGCGCCTTGTATGTAAGTGATGCTCAGTCAGCAGCACTTGATCGTGAATTCCCACAAGCACGGAAGCAGCGACCGCTTGCCCCCAGCACCCACCTCAAAGATGGCCAAGGAGAAGGGGTGCGCCAGCTTCTTCTTGTCCTCCAGCACGGTCTTCCGGTTGCCCCCGGTGACATCAATGCTGGAGATAGAGTGCAGCTTGGAGTCGACCCAGTACAGGCGGCCGCTGGAAAGATCTAGAATCCAAGACCGGGGG